CAGCAACCCATCTGGACTAAGAAGTTAAAGATGATGATGATAAACACAAAGCAATGGTTCTGTAATTATGTAGTTTATTGTCAATAAGTTTGTTAAATGTCCTACTCAGTATTCAGCGATACTTTAAAAAAAAAGAGTATATATCTGCAACGTCCAGAAAACGTAAAAGGTCTTTTCAAGTCAATATGATCATTTGATCACATTCTTTTGTGAACACAACTCTACAATTTTTTTGATAGAAACTCAGTTGTGCACTTCAAACAATAATTGTTTTGCAGTTGGTTTATAAAGCTTGTCTAAACTGGCAACAAATCAGTATGACAATACACTTTTGTGGATGAAGCATGGATAGGTCAATTAGTTTTAGTGTTTAGACTGTGGTAGACTGTTTCTGATTAGTTGGTTTTGGGGTTTAGACTGGTAGACTGAATCTAATTGGTTGGTGTTGGGATCTAGGCTTTGGTAGACTGAATCAAATTTTTTGGTGTTGGGTTTTGCATTTTAGTAGACTGAATCTGATTGATTGGTGTTGGTTTTTGGGTTCTGGTAGACTGAATCTGATTGGTTAGTGTTGGCTTTCAGGTTCTGGTAGACTGGACTCATGCTGATGTTTTGGTTCCCAGGTGGATCATTTTCATAATCATAATCAGCCCGAAATTAGATCAAGACAGTAAGTACAAATTTAAGTATAAATGAACAGTTAATCGAAGACCATTTCATAGACTACGTTTTGAATAATCATCTGCTATACCTATGAATAGTTTATCAGACTCACTAAAGCATACGCTATCAAACTCTATCATATAAATGTTTCAGATATTTAGCTATTTGGGATGTTTTGTTTTTTTTTGTTAATACATGACATGTTTTGTAATGCATTGCCTCCTTTCTGTAAAGGATACTACCTTTAATACTGTTTGTTTAGATGTGTGAAAAATGTAACTGTGTCCATAAATGTCCATTTTCTCATGACTGTTTATTTAAAGCAGTGGTCATCAACCCCAGTCCTGGAAATCAACCTTCCTGCAGAGTATAAATCTGCTACAAGAGCTAATTAAACTTTTCAGACATCCTTGATTGACTGGATCAGATGCATTGGTGTCAGGTAAAAGTGGAGAACAAACATTAGATTTACCTGTAAATCTATAAAGGAATAAAGGACACATTACAGCACACAGCTACTTCATGTTCTTTTGGCAGCAAAGGGAGACGCATGTTCCACAACAGCAGTGTTTTGTTTCTGATGTCAAGAAGATCATCATGTTTTTTCCAGGAAGTACCATCCAAGTTTATCAGGGTAATGAGCTCCTCTGACAACTTGGAATTCATGCTGCAACAACACTTTCCCAAACTAAAGCCTAGAGTCAAGTTACCTAAGGTGCCTACGCACTGTCCATTCACTGAGCGAGCAAGTATGAAGAAGGCGTTCATTGGGCATCTTTTCAGTGCTGGATGAGAACACAATAGAAATAATAGAACCAGTATCAAGCAAAGCAGATACTTCTGAAACCATAGCATTCATTAGTGAATCATTTCTATCAATGGGAGAGTGCAAGGTGTTAAGGTGGGGCTCTTTTGTGAGGGCTTGTCCTTCAACAGCAGTTAATGGGAGTTTCCCCTCCTGGGTGAAGTAGGATCACACATTTTTCTCAGGAGACAGGAAATAAACTATGTGTCTGTATTTAGGACTCATTTCTTTTTCTCCTTGGAATGAGAATGGAGAATTGTGTTGGCTGCATCTTTCATCTCTATACCTTTCATGTTGTCTGGAGTAAACAGAAGAGGCAAGACGACATTCATAGTTGGGTTCAGAGTGACAAGCATAATGTTGATCAGGTGAGTAGTAGAGTTGTGGACGGTATGATTGGTAGTGAGAAGGAGAAGGTCTGCAAGCATGGGAATATGTTCCCTTTGTGAGAAGAACTTAACAGACCAAGAATCTAAGCACTGGGTAAAGTTTTTACAATGTTTGCAGTGAGATCGAGCTCCTCAATTGCCTGAACAAGTGTTATCAGAAGACTTAAGCTATGTTTACATTACAAGCCTCATTTCTCAAATTCGATTTTTTGCTCAAATCCGATCTCTCTGACATGATCGTTCACACTCATTTAAGTAAGTGATTCAAATGTCATTAATGTGAACGAACCGGCGTCCTGAAATGACCCACATGAGCACATCCTACTCAGTAACGTGACATGAATGAATCACGAGCATCATCAGCAAACAAACTAACGAGCAGAACAAGCTTCACTGAGAAGATAATTAACTCTGATCAGCTCTCAGCTTCATTATTAGAGCGAGACGAAGGAGAAAAAGGTGAGATGAGCTGCTTTTCCACCGTTTACAGGCTTTAACTTCTGTTCGGCGCCGCTGCCATGGTAACGCTGAATGATGGCGCACGCGCAGTGGAAAAAAAGTACATGAATTCCGATCCGAGTGTCACATTAAGGTCGCATGGCCACGAATCGGATACGTGGTCCTAGACGTATCCAATCTTGGACCACATATGAAAGTGGCTCAGGCTGGATTTGAAAAGATCAGATGTGCGTGTCCACACAGGCCTGAAAACATCAGATCTGAGTCACATTAGGGCAAAAAATCAGATTCGTGCCACTTCAACCTGGTAATTTGAACACAGCCTTAGAGTGAACCATAGCTACCTGATCTGAGGTCAGAGGAAGAGGTGGACAAGCATAATTGTATTGTAGTGTAGTATGTGCTCTCTCACAGCAGCTGGCAATAATGACAGGTTTCTCTATGCTGGATGCACCATCTAATGGATTGTTGACTGTAAGGTTGGGGCTAAACTGGCCATAAACAGCAGAATTTCTCTTCTTCCTTAGCATTGAGACCATAATTAAGGAAGGCTGTACAAATCTAAACTCTCACCAGGCTTACAAGGGTGAACATTCACATGAGTCTGAGAAAATGGAAGAGTGTATTTACAACTTCAAACATCCTGGAGTTTTTCTTTATCTAGGCTATAGCTCTCTAAAGATGCTGTATCAGCCAGATGAGTTGGTAGAGCTGAAGCCAACACTCTGGATAAGTCAGTAGCTGGAATATGCATTGCTTGCACTGCTACATCAAAGTGGCAAGACCAACTCATGAAAGATTCTGTGCCATCTCCCTTAAAAGCAGGTGAAAGATCAATTTTTAGATTTCCAGATAAATGGTTGGGGGCCGTCTGCTGCCGAGCAGCGCCATCTACTGTTGTCTGTTGGGGCTCAGGCTCAGCAGCTAATTGTCCAGATGCACTATCAGCCTCAGACATGTTGAGAAAGAAACAGGTGGGAAAAACTCACAAAAGTAGGCAAAAACTGCAAAACAGTAGAAACTGCAAAACAGAGCTGAGACAAAACTGCAAAAATCATTCATCTCAAGCGAAAAGCAAAATACATTAGCTCACCAGTTTCATAAAGAGTGAACATCTGTGTGGAAGGTGAAATCTAGATAGGGAAATCATCAGCAGTCTCCTCAGAAAATCACAAAAACACATAAAAACCACCAAAATAAGCCAGTGCTGCCACCAAATGTAAGTGTGGGGCTCGATAAAAGGTTGTTGGATCACTCTTGGTTTATAAAGGAAGCAGGATGGAGATGGATTATTCTCTAGCAGCATTTTTATGGGTTAAGCCTCACAGTCTCAGTGTTGAATGTTTTTGTTTTCTTTAGACAGCAACATGACTTCCTCGTACTTCTTACATCATGTGACTTCTTAATCCAGTCCAAAGGCAGAATTGATATTTGTGTTAAAAACAAAGAATATACATTTTGCTAAAATGCTTTAGACTTTTATACCACTAGAATTAAACATTTAAGCATAGAAAACATTTTAACACTATAAAACTATTAAGTCCTTCAGCCTAACTTCCAACCTTCCACTTCCATAACCCCGAATGAGCATCCAATCCACATCAATAATTAGTCATATTTAGCCAATCAATACTATTTGAATATTTTTATATGTAATACTATATTTTTTAATGTTTTAGACAGCTTGTTGTGGTCACTGACATTAGTTAGCTTTTAATTTTTACAGTGTATCAGCTAAAAAAAAATCATTAAACTGAAAAAGAAACCATGTGTAAAATTATGCCATACATTTAAATATATATATAAACAGTAAAGACAAAACTATTAAAGAACTAGAACATAATGGAGTTAGGCAACTGGGAAATCTATTCATAAAAAACTTTACTCATTTTGATATTTCATTTACATTTATTGCATGCTCTTATTCAAACTGTCTTATGGTCAATTGAACAGAAACGTTCACATTTTTGACTTAACAATAAGTACAGTACAGTAAAAAAAAACAAGTACAGTAAACAATTATCTAAGGCATTTAAAAGATATAAAGATATAAAAAATATATAAATTGCAGAGCTCCATTGCAGACATTTGATAGCTTTGAGATGTGGAAATACTTTCTTAATTACAGATAAACTTAAAGCAATAGCAAAAGCAATTATGTAGGCCAATGTCAAAAGGTTTGTTAAAACTCAATCAGCAATATTTAAAATGATTAGTTTTAAAAATATGTATGTTCAGTGTGCAGCATCATATCAGTTTTTATTTTATTTTATTTATTAAGGTAAATAAATAAAAATCTGATCATTTGGTCTGAGGGACTAAAGTCTGGTAGACTGATTCTAGTTGCTTGTATTTCAGATGTTTTGCATTCTTTTGTAAATAATTTAGCTAGATTCTATGCAACCTAATCAGAAACATTTAAAATGTTTTATTAATTTGAAATTATGTTCATTTTGTATGACTGTGAAAAGTTGTGTTATGTTATGAAAAAGAATTCTTAAATTTTTGATGCAAACTCAGTTGTGCATTTCAGTTTTTTAACTTATTTTTAACTTTGTTAAGCTTGTCTAACCTGGCAACATCTGGTATGTAAGTACATAATTGTAATTTTATATTTACAATTGTATTTACAATTTATATAATACCAACCAAAACTGGTGCATGAGTAAACAATTGTAGACGGGACATGGATCACTCAATCAGAAGTGGCCTTTAGACTCTGATAGACCAAATCTTTTAGATTTGGACTCTGGTTGGCTGAATCTGATTACTTGGTGTTGAGTTTAGGCTCTAGTAGACTCCATCTGATTAGTTAGTCTCGGGGTTTAGGCTCTGATAGACTGAATCTCACTAGTTGGTAATGAGGTTTAGACTCTTGTAGACTGAATCTGATTGATTGGTCTTGGGGTTTAGACTGGTAGGCAGAATGTGATCAGTTGTTGTTGGGGTTTAGATTCTGGTAGACTGGATCTGGTTGGTTGGTGTCAGGGTTTAGGTTCTGGTAGACTGAATCTGATGGGTTGATGTTGGGGTTTAGGATCTTGTACGCTAAATCTGATTGTTTGTTGTTGGGTTTCAGATGTTTGTAGAATGAATCTGATTGGTTGGTGTTGGGGTTTAGGCTCTTGTGGGCTGAATCTGATGGTTTGTTGTTGGGTTCCAGGTTCTGGTAGACTGGGCTCATGCTCATCTGTTTCCCAGGTAGGTCATTTTCATAATCAGCCTGAAATAAGTGCAAAAGAGTGTTTTTACATGAACTTAATTGATCATAATCTGACTTTGGCAGTTATCTGATTATTCATGTGCTCATGTAAACAGCACACTCTCATTACTTAGACCAGATTACAGTTGTTATCAGATGTCTAGAAATCTAATAAAGAGATCTGGATTTTAGTTCTGTAGTCAGGTTTTTCATCACACCTATACCCTTATTCTGATTTCTTTCATTTTTCTCAGTCTGTGCATGTATAGAAACAGAGCACTGGCCTGGAAACAGCAAGGAGTATTTAACACAGCACCCATAAGGCAGCAACAAAACGCTTTTAGAGCGATGCTGAAACCAACTACATGCTTGACGAAATGAAGGATTCAAATATTCTTCATTCTTCATATTTTACTGATAAAGTGACTCAGGCTTTTTTTTAAAAAAAACCTGTAGCATGATATTTGAGTTTTATGGTATGTCCTATTCTGTGAGTTTACTGATCACTTGTAAAGCATATATCAGAATATTGCCTGACTCATGTAGACACAGAGTTTTCCTATTCTGATTACCCAAGTGCATGTAAACATGTTTAATGAAGTACTGATAAAGGTTTTCAGATTAAAGGTGCATATTAACTACAAATTAACAAGTAATTGAGGAAAGTTTCATAGGCTACTGTGGCATGTGCCTGTCCCCCAGCCCCCCCAAAAAAATGCTGCCAGCACAGCCTTACCTGACATACAGAGGCTGTGCTGGCAGCATTTTTTTTTCATTGGGGCCTGGAGGACAGATGCATGCCACAGCTACATATTACCCAATCATCTGTCAAAAATAAAAGATTTAGTATTGTACGTATGGATTTTTTTTTGTTTCATTTTGTTCTGTTAATTATAAGTGGGCGACACTGTGGCGCAGTGGGTAGCGCTGTCGCCTCACAGCAAGAAAGGCCTGGGTTTGATTCCCGGCGGGGTGACCAGGGTCGTTTCTGTGTGGAATTTGCCTGTTCTCCCCGTGTCTGCGTGGGTTTCCTCCGGGTACTCCGGTTTCCTCCCACAGTCCAAAAACATGCAGTCAGGCTGATTGGACATGCTGAAATTGCCCCTAGGTGTGAGTGAATGTGTATGTCTGTCTGTCTGTCTGCCCTGCGATGGACTGGCGACCTGTCCAGGGTGTATCCTGCCTTCCGCCCAATGACAGCTGGGATAGGCTCCAGCACCCCACCGTGACCCAGAAGGATAAGCGGTTTAGATGATGGATGGATGTTATTATAAGTTATTTTGGTGTTTCATTTTATCATTTATATAGTGAAGACATAAAAACTGTGTGTGTGTGTGTGTGTGTTACCTGTTCTTTCCTTATCTTGCCTCTCAGTTTGTAGAAGATCAGTGTTGATCCTCCAATCAGCAGCAGAGTCACACAGACACACACAGTGATGATCACAGAGGAACCTGGAGATGAGAGACAGAAACAACAGGCCATGACCTTAAACTTTCAACTTTTGGGGGTCTGAAATGTTGTTTATCAGATGTGAGTGCAGTTTAATTGCTGGTTATGGTTCTGTGAGTTGAGCTGACAGTAGATAAAAACATGAGTATGAATTAAAACTGAATTATGAACAACAAAGTGACAGAAACACTCACCAGCATTAGTTTCCTCAGATGTGACAGATGGCAGTGTTGTTGATATGGTCCAGTAGGTTTTGCCTTTATAATATAGAGTTAAAACAAACAAACAACAACAAAAAATATGTGAATTGAAAGTGACTAAAAAAAGTGCAGTGACATGAACAAAAATGATTATTTGATCTGATGTAATTACTGGAGTCTTAATAATATCAATATCAATAATATCAAATAGAATAAAATAGAATAATAAGACTAATAAAAAGTATAGGAGAAAAATGTGTTGTGAAAAACACAACCATAAAGGTAGAGTCACACATACTGAAATGCTCGTCTTTAGATGTGGATTCTGTTGGTGCTGCTGATGTGGTTCTGTATGTTGCTGTTGATTTTTCAGTTGTGCTTAAACTTGCTGGTAGAGGTCGTTTTGGAGCCAGTGGTGCTTCTTTTCCTTAAATGTGATATAAAATTAATTAAATTAATACATTTATGAAATATGATGCCCAGGATGTAATGTACTGTAATGTCTCTTTCTCCCTCTCTCTCTCTTTCTCCTTCTCTCTCTCTCTCTCTCTCTCTCTCTCTCTCTCTTACTGACCCTCTTTACTCTCAGCGAGTTATTATTAATATCTTTCATGATATGTGATCATACATAGTGAAGTCATTTTCAGACCACAACACAAACAGGATGGACAAACTCAAACCTAAATTTACACTCTGTAACTTCCTCTGTTCTCACGCTCAGTGTGTGTGTAAGAGCTGGACTTTTACCTTTACATACGTTTTATTTTAACAATAATATTAAGTGTAATTAGTCACTGTTCTTGTGATGTACTCAGCCACAAATTCTGACATAAATGAGAGAAACTGACAATGTATGTACTGTTATTAACCGAAGCTTTTCAAACTCTCACCAGTTCTTATAAACAATGAAACATGAACATTGGGAAAAGTTAATGTATCTCACCAGTGACTTGTAGATGAGTCTCTGTGTAGAAGGAGTAATAACTGACTGACTGTCCTCCAACAGTCACTCCACAGAAATAAACTCCTCCATCATCTTCTCTCACATCACTGATTCTCACACTGAGAACTTTAGAGCTTCTGTTATCAGAGATGGAGAATCTGCCTCTCTGAGTCTCTGTGGTTCGGATCACTTCAGTAAAATATTGTCCGTTTTGTTTAAAGAAGGACTTCATGTTTTCCATGTCAAACTGCTCTGGATATGAACAGCTGATGGTGACAGTCTCTCCCAGATAAGCAGCCACAGTCTTTGACCCCAAACAACATGGATCTGTCAACCAAACAAAAATTATTAAGGAGGCAATATTATAATATATTTTGAAGTATTTCAGTGTTTCTCACCTGAGTTCACTTTAAGATTCACATCATGACTCCACACTCCAGTCTCTCCACACTGATATAATCCAGCATCCTGTAAACTAAGTTGTCTGTAGATCACTACTAGAACTTCAGGATAATCGCAAAGAGAAATTCTATCTTCATGAAACCATGTGTTCTGAGTTTGATTAGATTTTAAATACACACACTGCTTTGTGTTGGTGTTACAAAAATATCTGTTGTTCTTGCTATGAAGTTGGTAATCACAGTAGATCATGACACTACCTCCTGGATACCCAATCACATTAAAGCAGCTCACTGGACCTGCCAATCAAATAGAAGATTCTCACTCATCTCACTGACATCATTAAATTCTACACTTTTTGTACAGTTCTGCATCTAAACAACTGCAGAAGAATAGATCATTAGAAGAATCAAAATATTAGAATAACTGACCTGAGATCAGGTAGAGGGTGAAGATGAGGAGGATCTTCATCCTTTACTGAAATTCTGCCTCTCTGATGTTCACTAAACTCCAGTCTTCTCTCTCCAAACCTCTCTAAGTTTGCTTTTGTTCTCCTCAGAAGTAAATTCTTCTTTTCTCTGCAGTTTGTACTCCTCTCTCTGTCCGTGTGTCACCATCTCCTCTTCTCTCTGGTTTGGTTGGTTCCTGTTTCTCTGGTAACAGTCAGAGTTCCTCAAACTTACAGCCCCTCCCAGCTGCATCACTGACCACAGACCAAATTTAACACACAGGATATTATGAGATCAGTTCTTGTGATGTGACATTCACAGGTAACAGGACAGTAGAATCACTGTGATTAAATCATTTTAAATGTGAAAAGAAATTACTTACATGTACTGTTTCTCTCTGTTTTCATATTTATTAGAATACATAAAGTTTAGAGTCGGTTGCTGTGAGTCTTGAGTTAGTCTTCTAACCTCCCCCCTCAGTATCAGGTTTTATTATAGTATCTGATGACAGCTGAAGTCAGTGTGATAATGTTACTAAAAACACTGCTTTTTTATCGATGTGGGCTCCAAAATGTGCAAATGGAAACAACCTCTGTATTTTGTCTAATGTAATTATTTACTGTATTTCCATTTTTCAGCAGCTCCACATAAGAGTAATGAGTTTTCTGAGCTGATCAGATCCACACTGATCCAGGACCTGCTTGTTCTACGATCAGGTGAACACTGAGCTTTTTACAATCCCATTTCCAGAAAATTGGGACACTGTGCAAAATGTAAATAAAAACAGAATGCAATGATGTACAAATCTTTTAAACCCTATATTTAATTGAAAATAGTACAAAGACAAAATATGAAATGTAAAAAAAAAATGACAAATTGTATTGTTTTGTGCCCATTTTGAATCTGATGCCAACCACACAAATCTCCAAAAAGGTGGGAGCAACGGAAGCCTGGTAAGGTTGTTTAATGCTACAAAACCTGTGAGTTTAGTTTGCAAGAGTTTGGTAACATGATCGGGTATAAAAGAATCCCAGAGAGTTTTTAGAAGTAAAGATCGGGAGAGGTTGACCACTCTATCAAAAACTTTACAGGCAAATAGTGCAACAATTCAAGAATAACGTTGCTCAATGTAAAATAGGAAAGAACCTGAGGATTTTCATATATAGTACATATCATTAAAAAATTAAGAGAATCTGCACTAATGCAGGGGACAAGGCCGCAAACCAATAGTAGCTTGTCATGGTCTTTTGGACCTCGGGTGGCATTGCATTAAAAACAGACACAATCCTATAGTGGAAATCATCACATGGGCTCGGGAAGACTTCTGAAAATCACTGTGTGGCATGCGCCCGCCCCCTGGGCCCCAATGATGACAGCCGTGAGAGCTGGAAGGAAGGCGGGCCTGAACACCCAGCGGCGACGAACCTCAGCAAAGACAGCAGGGAGGGAGCCATGAGTGTGGAGGGGGTGGAGCGCAAAGCCCGAGCCCTGCCAAGTGACGCGAGTGACGGCAGGAGGAGGAGGAAGACAACGATGGTCCTGGCAACGAGAAGCACGATAACGAGCGAGTCCCGAGCTCCGCTGCCTGAGCCCCACCCCCTGGTACGCACTGAGGCTGAAAAGTGGGCAGCTTAGCATAGCATAGCGTTGGTTTTGTTTGTTGTGTTTATTTGTGTGATTAAAGGAATATGGCTGCTGCAACCTGAATCCTGCCTCCAGCGTCCTCCTTGAGCCCGGGGTAGCACATGCCATGCCACAGTGGTGGCGAAACCCAGGAGGAGGACGCCAAAACACCAAGGGAGTCTCCGTGGTAGAAGAGGAGGCTGTCAAGACTCTGGTACACCTGCACCTGGCTGGCGGGAGCTGCAGGCTGTCTTCCAGGATGCTGAAAAGCACTGGAAGCAGCTTGAGGAGCAGCAGGTGGAGACCCGTCAGATGGTCAGGAGCCTGCTGGCAGAGCGGCAACCCTCAGTGTGCATGAAGGCAGGAGCCCCCCTCTCTCCACCCCTCAAGCCTCCAGTCCCAGCTCCCAGGAGGACTGGAGGCCTTCTCCCCCCCTTCCCCCTTCCTGCTCTGAGGGCGCTCAGAGCTCACCTTCACCCCCCTCCAGTCCCTGCTCCGAGGGCGCTCGGAGCTCACCTTCACCCCCCTCCAGTCCCTGCTCCGAGGGCGCTCGGAGCTCAACTTCTCACCCCTCCCATCCCTGCTCCGAGGGCGCATGCCACACACTGTATATGAACATAGTTTGCTGTTGCGTCCAAAATGCAAGTTAAAACCCTTCCATGCAAAGAAGACACCATATATAGACAGGATCCAGAAACACTGCCACCTTCTCTGGGCCTGAGCCTATTTAAAATGGACTGAGGTAAAGTGGAAAAAATGTTCTGTGGTTTGAGAAATCAAAATTGGAATTCTTTGCAGAAATCATGGATATCATATCCTTCGGGAAAGAGGACCAACAGGCTTGTCATTAGCACACAGCTCAAAAAGCCAGGATCCATTATGAAAGGGGGGGGCATTAGTCCACATAACATGGGTGAATTGTGCATGTGTGAAGACATCTTTAATGCTGAATGATTTATACAGATTTTGGAGAAACATACGCTGCCATCCAGATGACGTATTTTCAGGGAAGGCCTTGCTTATTGCAGCAAGAGATGGTCAAACCACATTCTGCACGAATTATAACAGCATGACTCTATAGTAAAAGAATCAAAGTGCTAAACTGGCCTACCTGCAGACCAGACCTGTCATCTATTGAAAACATTTGCTGCATTATGAAATGAAAAATACAACAAAGGAGACCCTGAACTGTTGAGCAGCTGAAATCCTATATCAAACAAGAATGGGAAAACATTTCACTTTCAAAACTATAACAATTGGTCTCCTCAGATCCCAAACACTTACAGAGTGTTGTTAAAAGAAGAGGTGATGCAGCACAGTGCTAAAATCCAAATCCTACTCTACTGTATCAACCAAATACTGCATTCCATTGCTGTTCTGGTTGCTACCTCAGTGACCGCTATGCTCATATATGCTAGGCGATCTGCTAATCTGCTAATATGCATAACATAAATTAAAATCTGGATGAAGCACAACTTTCTCATGTTAAATAGTGATAAAACAGAACTTATTCTTATAGGATCCAAATCAACTGTCTCTAAAACTTCTTCTTTCTCTCTTTCCATCGACAATGTAACTCTGTCCCCTTCCCCTCTGGTACAAAATCTGGGCGTTCTCTTTGACTCAACTCTCATTCAGTGCACACATCAACTCTGTAGTTAAAACCTCTTTTTTCCATCTCCGTAACATTGCAAAAATTCGACCGTCACTCTCTTAGTCTGCTGCAGAAAGCCTTATTCATGCATTCATTTCTAGTCGCCTGGACTATTGTAACTCTCTACTTGCTGGTATTAACTCCTCCCATTTATGCAAACCCCAGATGGTACAGAACTCTGCTGCTCGCCTCCTCACCCGCACCCGTGCACATCTGCATATTACACCCATCCTGCAATATCTCCACTGGCTTCCTGTAAAATACTGCATACAATTCAAAGTTCTTCTCCTCACATACAAAGCTCTACATAACCTTGCTCCTTCTTACCTCTCTGATCTACTTATTCCCTACAAACCAACTCGCACTCTTCCTGCTGGTCTACTCACTGTCCCACCTTCCAACCTACATGGGTACGGTGATCGTGCTTTCTCTAGGCTGGCTCGAGCTTGTAATTATTACCAATCTTAAACCAGCCCTTTTGCCAAGTCCTGCTATGTTTTTGCTTGCGATGTTATGACTGTGCTTTGTGTTCTCATGTTCGTCTTTACTGTTCTGTATTTTGAAAACCTGTAAGCGTCTTTGAGTTCTTGAAAAGCACTATATAAGTACAATGTATTACTATTATTATTATTATTATTATTATTATTATTATTATGTCATAGTATGTTACATCCTTCTTTGCACAACATCACATATTCTCAGTACTGTGTACTGCCTGTGTTCTGTTTTGTTTTTATTGTAAGTTTTCCATATTTATTTATTGTACTTATTATTGTAAATACTATTGTATTTATTGTCTGCACTGTGTACTTGTATATAGCTGAAATGACAATAAAGCCTTGACTTTGCAGAGCGTCCCAACTTTTTTGGGAATGGGATATTAAAAGAACCTTCGCCTGGTCTCACAACAGTAAAAGGAGATCCTTCATCACCACACTGGAAAAAGGTAGATGAAAAACTGTGGGGATGAGGAGGATCTTCAACATCCATATAATGACCTAATTCATTTAGTGTTCAGAATTTTAATATTTTTGGGTCAAAAAAATCTCATTCCATCTGTTTTCTCTGTCATGTTTTATTATACTGTCTCTCTCAATCTCTTTCCATCCAACTGATAGGGATACCAATAAAACAGTTTATTACTTACTTAAGTATCTATTTAGTCATGTTTAATCAATTACATATATGGCATTTGGCAGACGCTCTTATCCAAAGCGACTTACAATCTGATCATTTTTACACAGGTAGGCGAAGGTAGTGTTAGGAGTCTTGACCATGGATGTGTGTACGTACTCCACTTGTTCTTTTTTGTTTAGCTTAGTAATTTATTTTCAGCTGAATTTTTTCTTGATGTGAGGCGACAATGCTACCCAATGTGTCACTGTGCCACCAATCTTAGAAGCCTAAGTACTAAATACCTTATATTTTAAGAGTAAAATAATACCATTTAGAAGCACTCTGTAGCAGTGCTGTGTCTGATCCACTCACACCAGCATAACACACCCTAACATGCCACTACAATGTCAGTGTCACTGCAGTGCTGAGAATTATCCACTACCTAAGTAATACCTGCTCTGTGGGGGTCCGGGGGGCGGTGTCCTGACCATTGTGATACAGTGGTCAATGAGTGTAGATACAAGGTAAGCGTACTTAATGAAGTGGCCAGCCAGTGTACACTATTCTACAAAAGATTGATTGTACATAACGTGCAATATCATTTTACCCAATAAAGTGTCATGACACAATCTAATGTCAGAAAAAGTCATTTGATGTGGGTGTTATATCAACTTGATTTCAAATTTGACAATATTAGCCTTCATGAAAGATGATGCCTATTGAAATAAGCCTTTATAATGTTTATATAGGTTTATGTCAGGTTACATTTGATCTGTCAGACGAGACATAGCAGAGACATATGTTTCCATGCACTGTACAGTAAAAAATACAAGTGGCATAAAAAAAGATATAAAGCATTTTAAAAAGATATAGAAATACATAAAAAGATGGCAGAAAAAAGATTGCAGAGCTTTTTAACAGCTTTATGATGTGGAAATTCTC